CCTCGTCCTCGGTGGCACGATCCTCACGGTCTTGTTTCCCGACTCGTACGAAGATACGACGTGGATCATCTTGATGGGCATCTCGCTCCTTCCGGTCTGCCTCGTCCCAACGCTCAAGGAAAGCGCGGGTACCGCCACCGCCGGTGCGCTCGGCGTGCTTTTCGCCGACGCCATCGCCATCTACCTCTTGGTTAGCAACATTGACATTCCCGACGAAGTCTCGCCGCCGTCGCCCGAGCTCTCGCTCAGTAGTGTCGCAACCGTCTTTGGCAGCTTGGCCCTTGCGTATGCAGCCGGCATCATCATTCCGTCGCTCCAGCGCGAGCACTCGCAGCCCGAGCGTATGCCGCGCGTGATCACGGTCACCTTGGTGCTCGTCTCGATTTGCTTTCTCGTTGTCTCGGTCCTCGGTGTCTTCAAGGTCGGCTGCCAGATCCCCGGCAACCTCCTCTTTGCCATTACCGGCTCCAAGCTCGGCTTCACCGCGTCGCGCGGCGGTGTCATTCTCTCGTTCCTCTTCATGCACCTCCACATTGTGATTGCATTTGCGCTCGTGTTCTTCCCGGCCATGTTCATGGCCGAGCGCATTGTCCTGGGCTTGCACAAGAACAGCCCGGTGGAAGCCGCCGACGTCATTGACCTCGAGACGCCCAAGGACACGACAGCCGAGCTCATTGCACGCCACGACGACCCCGCGGATGCCTATAAGGCGCCGGGTGCCTACGCCAAGGCTGCGGTTCTCCGCACCATCATGGTTGCGCTCTGCGTCGTGGTTGCGATTGCGTTCAAAGACAAGTTTGGGGACCTTTTGGATTTTATCGGTGCATCGGCGACGGCGACGTGTTGCATGATTCTGCCGATCGCGTTTTACCTCAAGACGTTTTGGCCGACGCTCTCCAAGGCTGAAAAGTGCTTTGCGATCTTCTCGATGCTCGTGACGACGGTCCTCGCCGTGTACGTCTCGATCAAGACGGGCATTGCGCTCTTCTCGCCGACCGAGTCGGCGATCACGTTCCCGTTCTGCCCCGAAAAGTACCAGCACTACGTCTACACGAACCGAACCCACTACAAATTTTGAGGTCGTCTCTCGTTTTTGTAGTGTATTATGTCGCTTAATCTAATTCTATTCCTGCGTACTACGAAAAAGGCCTTGGCCCTTGATCGCGTTGCCGATCTTATCTTGTTGGTTGTCCCCATAGCATGGCTGTCATAATACTACTGGAAATATCACATTTGTTGAAAACTTTGGTCGCACAAGGAAATTTGGTTCTAGGGTGTAGATAGAGAGACATCCCAACGCAGGAGTCTACGCCATCGACTATGATGCTGATGCTCTTGTCGGACGATGAACCGACCGCGTCAGCGCATTAATGCGACATATCTTGTTGGGTGCATGCGGAGGCGAGAAGGACTGGCCCTTCCGACTGGGCGAGACACTTGCCATGCAGTTGAGCCCGGCATAGGTTGGCTGTCCGGTATAGAAGGTGATGCTATGACGTAGCGCAACCATTTCACGTCGCGCAGTCGCCAACCAAGTGCACAACCTCGCAGAAGGACGCAAGGACCGACACAGCAGAGTCTCGTGTCGTTGCACGACATGAGAAACAGCCGCTGCAGTTC